CTTTTGGAATTATTGTTATTTAAATAAATTATGAATTTCTACCGTATCAGTATATTAAGACATGTTTTTCTCAAGAACTGAACTAGAAATGAACTAGAACTGAACTAGAACTGAACTAGAACTGAACTAGAACTGAACTAGAACTGAACTAATGAACTAGAACTGAACTAGAACTGAACTAGAACTGAACTAGAACTGAACTAGAACTGAACTAGAACTGAACTAGAACTGAACTAGAACTGAACTAGAACTGAACTAGAACTGAACTAGAACTGAACTAGAACTGAACTAGAACTGAACTGAACTAGAACTGAACTAGAACTGAACTAGAACTGAACTAGAACTGAACTAGAACTGAACTAGAACTGAACTAGAACTGAACTAGAACTGAACTAGAACTGAACTAGAACTGAACTAGAACTGAACTAGAACTGAACTAGAACTGAACTAGAACTGAACTAGAACTGAACTAGAACTGAACTAGAACTGAACTAGAACTGAACTAGAACTGAACTAGAACTGAACTAGAACTGAACTAGAACTGAACTAGAACTGAACTAGAACTGAACTAGAACTGAACTAGAACTGAACTAGAACTGAACTAGAACTGAACTAGAACTGAACTAGAACTGAACTAGAACTGAACTAGAACTGAACTAGAACTGAACTAGAACTGAACTAGAACTCTGAACTAGAACTGAACTAGAACTGAACTAGAACTGAACTAGAACTGAACTAGAACTGAACTAGAACTGAACTAGAACTGAACTAGAACTGAACTAGAACTGAACTAGAACTGAACTAGAACTGAAACTAGAACTGAACTAGAACTGAACTAGAACTGAACTAGAACTGAACTAGAACTGAACTAGAACTGAACTAGAACTGAACTAGAACTGAACTAGAACTGAACTAGAACGAACTAGAACTGAACTAGAACTGAACTAGAACTGAACTAGAACTGAAACAGAACTGAACTAGAACTGAAACTAGAACTGAACTAGAACTGAACTAGAACTGAACTAGAACTGAACTAAGAAACTGAACCTAGAACTGAAACTAGAACTGAACTAGAACTGAACTATTCGAACTGAACTAGAACTGAAACTAGAAGCTGAACTAGAACTGAACTAGAACTGAACTAGTAACTGGAAATAGAACTGAACTAGAACTGAAACTAGAACTGAACTAGAACTGAACTAGAAACTGAAACTAGAACTGAACTAGAACTGTGAACTAGAACCTGAACCTAGAACTGAGAAACTAGAACTGAACTAGAACTGAACTAGAACTGAACTAGAACTCGAACTAGAAACTGAACTAGAACTGGACTAGAAACTGAACTAGACTGACTACTAGAACTGAACTAGAATCTGAACTAGAACTGACCTAGAACTACTAGAACTGAACTAGAACTGAACTAGAACTGAACTAGAACTGAACTAGAACTGAACTAGAACTGAACTAGAACTGAACTAGAACTGAACTAGAACTGAACTAGAACTGAACTAGAACTGAACTAGAACTGAACTAGAACTGAACTAGAACTGAACTAGAACTGAACTAGAACTGAACTAGAACTGAACTAGAACTGAACTAGAACTGAACTAGAACTGAACTAGAACTGAACTAGAACTGAACTAGAACTGAACTAGAACTGAACTAGAACTGAACTAGAACTGAACTAGAACTGAACTAGAACTGAACTAGAACTGAACTAGAACTGAACTAGAACTGAACTAGAACTGAACTAGAACTGAACTAGAACTGAACTAGAACTGAACTAGAACTGAACTAGAACTGAACTAGAACTGAACTAGAACTGAACTAGAACTGAACTAGAACTGAACTAGAACTGAACTAGAACTGAACTAGAACTGAACTAGAACTGAACTAGAACTGAACTAGAACTGAACTAGAACTGAACTAGAACTGAACTAGAACTGAACTAGAACTGAACTAGAACTGAACTAGAACTGAACTAGAAACTGAACTAGAACTGAACTAGAACTGAACTAGAACTGAACTAGAACTGAACTAGAACTGAACTAGAACTGAACTAGAACTGAACTAGAACTGAACTAGAACTGAACTAGAACTGAACTAGAACTGAACTAGAACTGAACTAGAACTGAACTAGAACTGAACTAGAACTGAACTAGAACTGAACTAGAACTGAACTAGAACTGAACTAGAACTGAACTAGAACTGAACTAGAACTGAACTAGAACTGAACTAGAACTGAACTAGAACTGAACTAGAACTGAACTAGAACTGAACTAGAACTGAACTAGAACTGAACTAGAACTGAACTAGAACTGAACTAGAACTGAACTAGAACTGAACTAGAACTGAACTAGAACTGAACTAGAACTGAACTAGAACTGAACTAGAACTGAACTAGAACTGAACTAGAACTGAACTAGAACTGAACTAGAACTGAACTAGAACTGAACTAGAACTGAACTAGAACTGAACTAGAACTGAACTAGAACTGAACTAGAACTGAACTAGAACTGAACTAGAACTGAACTAGAACTGAACTAGAACTGAACTAGAAATGAACTAGAAGTGGATAGAAGTGTCGTTTTTTAAAGGACTTTTCACACCGCCCTCGTCTATGTATACTATTGCACATTTTAGTGTTGTTTAGTTTCGTTCGTTCTTTTTACAGTTTTTAGTTAGTGTAACTTTTTTACTGTTGCCTGACTTCCTGCCCCGTGAAAAAATGCACACACACACATTCACACACTTGCACAATTACTTGTGTAGCTGTGTGTATATAATTTTAGATGATGGTGTTTGCGTCTGAATGTTGTCTTCTTCTTCTGCTGTTACGTCGGTTTGTCTTTCAGCCATTCACTCTGTTTTTTGTTGTTGTTGTTGGTTCCACTACTTCTCTGGTAGAACACACAACAAATGTGTTTCTTTCTTTCTGTGCGTGTGTGTATGTTGTTTGGAAAAGTTTGTTGAGTGGGTCAAGGTTAAATGGATATTATAAATAATGTCATTGGTTTTGTTTTAATTTCTTTTTATCTTGTTTTTGTTTTATTTTTTAAAGGTTTTTGTTGTTGCTTTACATTTCAAAACTTTAAAATGAAATTTGTTTTATTTTATTTATACAGTTCTATTCTGTGTTGTATTATTCTTTAAAAAAATAACAATGTCGTAGATATGAATATTAAATTTTGTAGATTTGTTTGTTAGTTTGTTTGCATTTACACACATACATATATACATATGTAGTATGTATGTACATATTGGATTAAAGGGAAAATTTTATTAAAATAAATGTTTAAATTGGAAATATGTATCTGTGATACAGAGTGTGTGCGAGCGTTTGTATGTCTAGTGTTATTTTGGGTAATAATAATGTAACTTTGACAGGTGGTTTATACATATACTGTCACTATATTTATTTGTGTGTGTGTGTGTTTTCTTTTTTGTAGAATAATTTCAAATTAAATTATAGTTTTAGAAATTAGTTTAGTTTATTTTTTATTTAAATTTAAATGGAAATTTAATTAAAAATATATAATTGTATAATTTTTGGGACATTAGATTTTATTATAAAATTTGTAAAATAGAATTTAAGTTTTAAATTTTAAAGCTTTACATTAATAAATTTTGTCATTTTGTTTAAATATTTATAAATTGTATTTAAATTTAGAGAATTACATTAAAAACTAAAAATAACTACATTTAAACTTATTTTTGAAAAAACTTCTTTCAGTGACAAAAAGCTTTTAAAGTGATAAAATATTTTTTGTGAACAATATTCCGTAGTTAAAAAAGCTTGAAATAAGCATTTTATTAAAATAACCGTTTTAGTGAATGTTTTTTTTTTTGTTGTCAAAAATTCCCAAAGAAATCATATTTTAGAGCTTTTTATTAAAATTTTTTACTAAAACATATTTTAGTGTTTTTGATTGATTTTTTTTATTTATTTTAAAAATCTTCTTTGAAAAAATCATATTACGACGTTAATTGAACAGCTTTTTGGTAGATATTAATAGCATTATTTTGGTAAGCTTTTGAATAGTTTTTAATGGAAAAAACTTTTGTGGAACTTTTTTCAGTAAAAAGCTTTTATTAAACTAATATTTTTTACTGCTTTTTAAATCGTTTATTGGACAGCTTTTTGTAGTTTTTTTAGTTTAACGTTTTAGTGGAACTTTTTAGTGAAAAAAGCTCTATAATGAAGTTCTTACTTAAAAAGCTTTTCACAAAAAAGCAATAAGTTGTTTTATTAGAAAATTTTACAAAAGCTCTTCCACTGAAAAGCTTTTTATTGAGAAGAGCTTTTTAGTTAAAAAACACTTTACTGAACAGTTTTTTTAGTATATAAAGCTCATTGAAGAGCATTAAAAACGTTTGTTATTAGTTTAAAAAAGCTTTTAAATGGTTTTTAATAAAAAAGCTTTTTTGGAGTCTTTTAGTGAAAAAGCTTTTGCAGAACGTTTTAGCATAAAAACGTTTGTAGAACTTTTTAGCGAAAATTTTATTATAGAGCTTTTAAAAATGCTTTTTATTAAAACATATAATTTTTTAAATTAGTTTTTAGTAAAAGAGTTTTTTAATAAAAAAGCTATAGATTTAAAAAGAAAACATTTTAATAATAATACGTTTGAATAAAAAAGCTTTAGATTTAAAAAGAAAACATTTTAATAATAATACGTTTGAATAAAAAGCTTTATAGTAAAAAGCATTTTAACAAAAAAAAGCTTTTAAGTAAAAGTGTTTTTTAATAATCATTTTATTTAAAAGAGATTTTAATTCAATTTTTGAGTGAAGAGAGTTTTATTAAAAAATTTTTGAAAAACTCTTAATTAAAAAAACACTATTTTCATTTCGGAAAAAGTATAACCTTTAACGAGAAAGCTTTTAAGTGAAACTACTTTAGCAGAAAGGGCTATGCTTTAGTGAGAAAGGGCTATTTGCAACAGAAGATAAAAAAATCGATTAAAAATAATTTTATTTCTTTTTTCTTTTCTTTCCAGACTAAAAAAAATCTCCCAAATAAAACGAGAAAAATCACTATTATGCTTTTCTCATAGTTGTGACAAATCCTTCTCTCAGTAAATCACAATTTATGTTTAAAATTAAATTTACACAAACTTAAAATAAAGAAAATGTTTTGATTAAAAACTTTAAAAACCAAGCAAAGAGAGTGTAGAGATTAGAAACCGCGTTTGCTACAAACAAACAGCATAAAAACACAAACTACGTCATAAGGTTTTCTAATCTCTTGCTAACTGCATTGTTGTCGTCATTTGCCCCCTCAACCACAAAAACAAAATAGCCAACAACAACAACAAACACATTTACAATGGGTGCCAATGCATCGACTGGTAGTTATCCGCCTGTAATGACAACATCACAAGGTCATTCATCTGGCGGCGGTGGTAGTGGTGGTATGCCAGCGGGTGCAAGTACTAGTTCAAGTTTATTACTACCTACCACAGGGGCCAATTCATTACTGTCCGCTTCGCTAGGGGGTCCTGGTGGTGGTGGTCCCCATTTTCGGGAACAACGACGTAAACGTGTTACGGGTTTTGCCACCCTTAAACGTAAATTCATAAGACGACGGCGTTCTTCAAAAGCCTGTGATCATGCTAGAGTGCTGAGAGATTTTGTTTCGGATTGGACTCCTTTAGAGCTGGCAGCATTGTGTGAAGAATATGAAGCTTTGGCAGCACTAAGGGATTTATCGGTAAGTGGAGAAATATTTCTTGAATGATTTTTTTAATTTTAAAACGTCCTAAACTTTTAACTCTCTTAGATGCAAGCCGAGCTGGCACGTCCTCCCGCTACCACTTATAAACAAGATCTTGCTGCTCTTTTTGAAACGAAGACTTGTACAGACTGTGATCTCGTCTTCCGTGGCGCCATATTTCCCGTGCACCGCTGTATACTCTCCTCACGTTGCACTTATTTTCGTGATCTTTTAGCCGGTTGCCCCGGCTTTGGAGCTCGTATTTGTCTCGAGCTACCCACCTCACCCATAGATGTTCAAATGTTTGCCTCCCTACTAAGATATCTCTATACCGGCGATCTATGTCCCCATGATGCCAGCATGGATATTGGTCTGTTGCGTCAACTAGGCGATGATTTCGGTACGCCCAATCCTCTCGAACATGATTTGCGTTATCTGCTCGAAACGGGAGATTATGCCGATGCTGCTTTGGTGTTTACCTCCGAGAATGGTGGCGGTGGAGGAGGCGGTATTAGTGGCTCTTCAGCCATGGGCGTAGTGGGTTTGGGTGGCGAATACAATCGTCCCGATTCGGGGAATTCAGAATACGGCTTCCGACCGAAACTGGAATTACCTTGCCACAAAGCGATTTTAAGCGCGCGATCGCCTTTCTTTCGTAATCTCATAGCTAGACGAACACGTAATATGGATGCTGAATATGCAGAGCGTGCTCTGCATGTGCCGACGCGTATTGTGTTGGATGAAACCGTGATACCAAAACGTTATGCTCGTGTTCTTTTACATGCCATTTACTTGGATACCGTAGACTTAACATTAATTTTAAGGGGAGCAAATTCGGGAACAGCAGCGGCTGGTTCGCTGGGTGAAGTTCATGCCTTGACGGCGGGTCGAACACGACCAACACCGCTCGAGGAAGCCATGGAACTATATCAAATTGGTAGATTTTTAGAATTGGATATTTTAGCACAAGGTTGCGAGGATCTCATATTGGAGTGGCTGACCTTAGACACTCTGCCAACGGTGCTCAAGTGGGGGAGTCAGGTAAATTTATATTTTTTTTATTATTAAATGTTTGTAGAAAGAAAATTTATAAAGCTTTTTATTGAAAATGCTTTTAAGCAAAAAGCTTTTTATTGAAAATGCTTTTATGCAAAAAGCTTTTTATTGAAAAAGATATTGTTAAAAAGCTTTTTATTGAAAAAGCTATTATTAAAAATCTTTTTATTAAAAAAGTTATTATTAGAAAGATTTCTATTAAAAATGCTTTTTTTATTAAAAGCTTTCTATTAAAAAAGCTTTTTATTGAAAATGCTTTCTTATTAAAAGCTTTTATTTAAAAAGCTTTTTATTAAAAATTTGTTTTTAAGTTGTATTCAAAAAGCTTTTTGTTCAAAGTTTTTTGAAAAAGCTTTTTTTAAAAACTTTTCAACTGAAAAAAGCTCATTAAACAGTCTTTTGATTAAAAACATTTTATTTTAGTAAAAAGCTTTTTAACAGGCAAAATATTATATTTAGATTAATTTGAATTCAACTTTATCTTTAGCCCCACGGTTCTGCGTGGGTTTTCCGCCAAGCTTGCCAATATTTACGCGAAGAATTCTCTGCAGTCATCTCATCACCTGTTTTGCATCAACTCGATAAATCGCAACTTATACACGTTTTGCAATCGAATTTTTTACAAGCTTCCGAATTGGAAGTTCTACAGGCTGTACTCAAATGGGGAGAACAGGAGCTCATACGGCGCATGGAAGATCGAGAACCGAATCTTTTATCGCACACTGCCCATTCGGTAACAAGAAAAGGTGTCAAGAAACGCGATCTAAGTGATGTGGAACTAAGAGAAATACTCTCAGACCTTTTGCCATTAGTGAGAATGGATCATGTCTTACCGCCTAATAGTGAAGTTTTGGCCCAGGCAATACGCCGTGGCCTAGTGAGTACACCGCCCTCGCATATGATTGGCGATGAACGTGAGAATTTACGTATCAATGCTTGGATTAGGGGAGGAAAAAATCAAGGTCTATTTGTGAGGCCTCGCCTATTTATGCCATACTTTGAAGAGGTTAAGGCATTGTTAGAAGATCGCATGACTTCATCACATCATCAAGCTGAGCTAATGAGAATGCGTCGTTCTCGACAAATGCCCGACATACCCGATACTTTGTATATGGTTTCTAGAATGAATGCCGCCTCGAATAGTGGTGTAGGTAATACGGGTGTGGGCTCTGGTACCGATACTGTAGATATCTTAGCTGCTGCCGCTGCTATACCCCCACCCGATACACAAACCTTGGCTGCTATGCTGAAGCGCGAACACAAACTGCGGCAATCACCCATGTGCCAGAGGGCTTTACATCTGCCTCTTTCGTCCAAACATGAAATCGATAGACAAATACGTCTGCGTGTGGTAAGAGAGTTTAATCTACCCGATGCTGTGTCGGATCTACTAGAGACATCACTACTTAGCAATACCCGCAATGTTCAAGATGAAGTACAAAATATGGCCGACTCCACGACCACGGTGCAGTCCGTCGACGACTGTTGTCTGCTAGAGGATGATGATCAATCGCCACCACCCTCACCGGCAGCAGCCTCGGCCGGTTCAGTGCCTAGACACTCGGCCATGGGTGCTAGTTATCTATCGTCTTCGGTGGGCTCGAATGCGGGCTCAACATCATGTGGTGCTGCTTCAACATCGGCGGCCGATGGTCTGCCTGCCTGTTATACCAGAAATTTAACATTCCCCCGTCAACATGCCGCCGGTTTGTTGGGTTTAGGTTTTGGTTCTGGCGTGGGCATGGGCTCGGGACTGCCTCATAATTTTGCTAGACTTTCGGCGTCAGCACATCATCGCAATGATTTGCCCGCCCTTATAACCGAAGGTGATTATCGGGGTTTTGCTCATGGCAGTGCTTTAGGGCTGGATATGGGCGGTGCTGAGGGTGGTGCTATGGGTTGTTCGGATGGCCCTAATGCTGGTCATTTATCAGATATGATGCCTGATGTTGCTATGGCCACGGCTTCGTTGGGACAGCTACATTTAGCGAATGCTAGTAGTTCTGCTAGTAGTACGAATGATATGCCTGAGTCTTTGCAATTGGATTTGGGTGATGGTTCGAGTCATATGATGGGTGCTGGCGGAGGAGGTGGGGGAGGAGCCGCAGCGGGACCAATGGGAGGTTTGCGGGGATTACAGGTAAGAGTCGTACATATTTTAGAAATTTAACACATTTTTTAGTAAGAAATTGTTAAGAAACTCTTTTATTCAAAAGTTGTTCAGATCTTTTCTAATAAAAAGTTGTTCAGATTCTGATCAACTTTTCTAGTAAAAAGTTTTTCAGATTCTTTTCAACTTTCTAGTAA